TTCCTGCTTGGCATTGGTGTACATGTACATTGCTCAATGTCAAAAGCCATTTCATGTCACTAATTTCCAATTATCCCAAGTCACAGGCTTCCTTCATACAGTCTTGTACCAGGAGTGATGACAGTTACAATGAGAAGTCAAATTGGCAGTGTTGAAGTAACACTATGACAAGCCCTTGGACAGAGCACAGGGCTTCAGATATGGCTGACCAGTCCAACCACAGGGAATCAACGGCAAACTTAATAGATGGGTTCATCGGTCCTTCTGGCATAATGCTGTTCCATGCTGTTTCACTGACTGTCTCCTATGAGTTCCACTAGAGATGTCATTTCACCAGGGCTGTCTTCCATTGAAGGATGTGTTCCACTAACTGAGTGAACTGGGAACCTGGATGCAGTCCGTGGTCAGCGAATGACTTGTACATGTACGTCGTCTCTCATGATGTCTGATCCATGATATCAACCATAGTACTTTGGACTTGGTATTGCAATGTCCAGTAGATTTTCCAGTGTTGACTTCCATGAGACTTTGTGGGTTGGTTTGATGATATGGGCGCAGCTGTCTTCCTTGACAGGGAATCTGCAGGAAAGATGTAAGGAAAGAGATTGAACATTTCAGTTTATCAGGCCAACTAAGCCTCACTCTTATACTGCCTGGCAACTGTCAGAAAATACATGTACAAGTACGTCCTTCTTTGGAACAGCTTCAAGTCCCACATGGTCACATTTCATATCTAACATCAAAGTAGATTTGTTCTGAGACCGGCCACGCTGGAGATCTGCAGCACATTTACTGACATTCCGAAGTACAACTATGTTTCACAAGACTTGATTAAAATCTTCATAATTACATTCTGCAATGCTTGTTTATGAACGTTTTGCAGATGCAGACTCATTTTAATATCTGAATACAATTTGCCATGCATTTTACACGTACCTGCTAACTGTGAATTCAAGCATCCGTGCCAACCATCCAATCCAGTTGCTCTCCAGTTGAATTGGCTTCTCAATTAACCTTGTCCCACAAGACTTGTACCAGCTGGTATAGACGCTGAATGTAGACACCAAGCAATGCCAACCCAATGCCAGGGGTATGATGCCATCCTTCAAGGTCAGGAGACCTAAAAACTTGTGATGATGCAGCAGGAATTCCTTGACATCCAAGCAGGCAGCATGGTGACAAGGAGAGGTGTGTGGTGTATGATGATGGTGAGCTTATAGAAGCTGGATCACAAGCAGTAGACTCCAGTATCTGTGAAAAGAACCAACAGAAAGACAAGACATGGTTAATAAGACTGGAACTATCATACTTCCACATTAAAAGATCAACAATTCTTGTGTAGTTTGAGATAGCAGGACATGATGGCTCAAATTTGAAATCAGTGTCCACACATACACATATTCTAAAAGTTTTCAAAGTGGTAGAAGATATACATGTATGTAGCAGAGAGAACGGACACTAAACACCGTAGAAGTACATGTACATGTATTTATTTACCCAAAATCTACATGCACATCCACATGTACCTACTTGAACATGTGGATGTGCTTATCAATGTGTGCATTGAGACGAACAAATGAAACTAAATTGCATTTAAATAATTTAATACATTATAAAGTGTCAAAGAAGGTTACACAGATAAGACAATAAAAACACAGCAGCAACCAACAAGGAGTCATACTCTCCCCCTCAAAAAACACAAGTTTTAGAGTCGCTGAAACACTTTTCCACTTGTACTCATCGACGTATTTAGACCGTAGGATGATCGCTCAAAATGTTACAAACTGTGATACCCTCTTTAGGACCACACAATATTTGTCAGATAATACGCAAAATATTACAAAAATCCAATTTGGTATGTTGCCTTTCACAAAACCTGCACACTTTGTCAAGAACATGTTAAATTTGGCAACGGTTTTACGATCCGGAGAGTGAACAAATAAGGATTACATCATCTAGTATCAACCAATGAAATTCCTCACTGATTATCATCTTTCATGTCTTCGTAAAATAATACGCTAACCAAGATGGTGGCGACCGTAGAAGATGAGGTTTCATCTGGAACGCAGCCGAATTTTTGTTGTGTGCATGTTTACGTGGATGCATTTGGAAAGCTTGTAGCTTTTAAACGTTTGAGTTGTAGTAAGTTTATCAGCTGCAGTTACCAGTGGACGCAGATTCCTGACTCAGTTGAGGCCCAAATTGTTGTAAAGTTTTCCCAAACACACCATGTGAATTTGAGCGAAGTGGCAAATGATTCGGCACTCTGGCCCTGCCAAAATGAAACCGGTTATCACCGTCATTGCTATCAGTGCAATGTAAATAAAATACGATGGGCCCATGGCAGAAAAACTACAGAAGATGCCGATAATGGTAAAGTTTGTCTTTCAGTTTGCATCGTCAGTTGAGTATGCTGTTGCTGTTATGAGAAAGTATTTTCCAGGAAGAAGTAAATGTACTAGGCCTACCTCATTGGAATGAGTAAGATTTTTAAAATATTCTTTTGTTTTGTTTAATGTGCATGTGAAATTAAAAAAAACCCACAAATACATGTGAAAGCACTTTCAATCTCCATGGACGACGACAAAGCTCACAGTAACTAACCTGCATGCATATGTAGGCCTAAAGCCCCCATCCATGTAAGTAGTCTTTCCAACACAAAATGTGTCACGGAGAGACATTTTTGTTTAATTTTTCGTCCGTCTTTTTGATTTTTGACACTAACTGCATGACACGATTGATCGATAGTCTGTGTTCACTTGCCCACTGTGGCGCAGCCGCCCCCGTGCGAAATGGTCGCTGAAGAAGCATGATGTCATGAAGGAATATTGCGATTGGATAGCTGTGTCTTGCCAAATGTATGTCATGAAAACACACAATCTCATTGGCTGGTACGCTAGATCTTTTTGCAGCAATATGTATAATTCAGTGTTGGGCAATTAGTTGGACTCCTGTGATGCGAGAATAGCCAAGCGAACTTATTTGGGACGTATTTTTATCGGCAATGGGGTGGGAATTTTTGTTTTGGCATTTGTGTAATCGATGTAAAATATTGATTTTTTAATCGTAGCTTGGACAAATCTGGGAGGGTGCAGTTTAAAAGGCTTTAATTTAATTAAAGGTCGGCAAAGGTCCATTTTCTGGATAAGCTCACATCTGAAAGTACGTACCATTACATACTTTAATCTGAATGTCATTCCACATGCTATACATGTCTCTGTGGTGAGAGCTTTTTTTTTTAAGCAATCAGACACAAGTATAGGTCACTGTGTGTAAAATGTAGCACCCTGTGTGTCACGACACTATTCTTCCACAAATTGACAACTTTTGGCTCACTAATAAATGGGACAGATAAAATAGAGCTCTTCACCAGCCTGTTGCCTTTCATAATGTCAATGGTGAGTTACCTAAAATGAGGAAAACTGACAAGGATGAATGACTTAGTTTGTCCACCGAGTTTATTTGCGGAAGAAAGTGTGTCAGGACGGCTTCAGCTACACAAAGTAAACGGGGGGGGCACTAGCAAGAATTAATGGCAGACGGTATGGCTGGCCAGACGGTATGGCTGGCCAGACGGTATGGCTGGCCAGACGGTATGGCTGGCCAGACGGTATGGCTGGCCAGACGGTATGGCTGGCCAGACAGTATGGCTGGCCACTTGATACTTTGTACTTGACTCTTCATCGATAAAAAGGCCTCTCAATCACAAAACTACCCTAGAAATAAAATCACTCCGTGCGTTATGTGCTAATCTAGAATTCTGTCTCAACCTGCACAAAAGACCAAACCCCTGAAAGATCACTGCGTGAAGACACGAGTCTAGAAGCAAACGCTGATGCCATTGTGGGCACAGTACGGGGCTGGAAGCAAAACTACAGTGATTAGAGGACAAATGGTAGATATCACACTTTGATGAGAGCAAACAACCACTGTAACAGAGCATGAGACTTCTGCTAAATTTTTGGTGAAAGTTCTCCTTCAAAACACGCTAAAAAATCACTTGCAAAGAAGCTGACATTCATGAACACAAACCTCTCTGTAGCGTGCAAGGTGCTTGTATCGTTTTACTGATCATGGCAACATTTCGTTAACCTACGAGTAACGGGATCAATTAATATTGTCACTGGAGGCCATGATGGAAACTACAAGCTCACCTGATGAAGGAATCAGTATCATATCAAACTCAACAGCAGACGAGGTGAAGGATGGAGTGAAATCAACAACACTGTGGATTGTTCTCATGGTTTTGGCAACACTGACAGCATGTCTGAGTGTCTCACTGAATCCACTGCTGCTTTTCACCTTACGGTGTGTCACCAGCATCCAGCCAACCACCAAAATCTTCATGGCTTCTCTCACCCTGGCTGATCTTTGCAATGGTATACGCTGGATCCTTAGACTAGTGGAACTGTTTCATGGATCTTGGTTGCTGGGGGATTTTATGTGTACGGTGCAGGGCGTGGCTGAATACATATTTAATGGACTAAGTATTTGGTCACTGCTTCTTTTGACTATAGATCGTTATAGCCCATCCTCTACGGTACGTTTCCATGATGACGGAGTTCAAATCAAAGGTAACAGTGTGTTGCATGTGGGTTGCAACAATCATATCTTGCATTGTATTGCATGGGACCCACAAGTCTTTGATTACTATACAGGTTGGTCCTGATGCCTTTTGCCTTGAACAAACCAAAGACTGGAAGACATACCTGACTATTACAATAACAGTTATCCCGTTGGTGACGATCCTCATCCTATATATCTACATATTGCTATCATGGCCCACAATCAAGTCCAACGAATCGCTGCTGACAACCACATTGCTAATGGCCAAGGTGGGCGGAGAATAAACACCAGATCAACCACCACCATCATCATCATAACAGGGACTCTAATCATCACGTGGATGCCTACAGTGATAGGGTTTGCTGTATTCCAACATGTACAGAATGTTGAGGAATGGCCCTACTTTTTCCTAGCCATTCATACTCTGCTAGTGTCAAATAGCTGGCTGAATGTTGTAATCTACTACCTGAGGAACAGGGATCTTTGTCAGGCACTACGTAGTTTACTGTCTGATTCTTATCACAGTTTGATTCAGAGATGCTTGGCTTAGCTTCATGGAGTAGTCAGAGAGGAATTTCAAGACAGCTTGTGGCACAGTTCACATTGTTAAGACTTCAAGTTTGGTGTCTCCCAGCCAAATACCATCAGAAACAGTGAGGGACTGGTAAGATCTTTCATCACATGTTCCTAGAGCTGATCTCAATGCTACATGTTCCCGTAGGAGCTTTTAAAGACGCAAATGGCATTTGACACGATCTGTTATTCAATAAATTTGTCTTGAAAAAAAAAAAAGGAAATGGGACATTCTACTCTTCTGTGGCATGCCTTTTGTTTTTAACAATATCATTGCCTCTTAAAATATTGACCCTAACCCCTGAGGGTGTATATGCAAAATCGTATTGAAATTGGAGGAATCCGAATTCGGTTTTGTACATGTATATTGAAATTTCAGTTGGTGGAAAGAGCTGGCAACAAACACAGTCACTGGTATCGTGTCTTTGACAATACTTCAGGTTGTAAACTTTGAGAAAGTAAATGAATCTATAGGCACATGTAGCTTCAATTCTTACCTCGTAACACTGGCTCATGCCATTCTGAACTATCACGGGTCTCATTTCCTTGGCAACACAAACAAGGGAGGTACTGATATAAGGAAGTGATGCTTTCTGTAGGAGGAACAAATAAAAACAAGAAATCTAAACACAGACAAGCAACAGAAGTGTGGAAGTACCACATGAATTCCATCTCTAGTTTGCTTGTGTTCCCTTGCAACATTTACACATGTATGTGTGTTCCTTATCCATGCCTTGTGACATTACGTACATGTACATGTATGTGAACATGTGTCTGCTGCAAATAACATGTCAGATGAACTCAATGTTTAAAAGTAATCACAACTCTACTGACACCCCCCCGCCCCCCGAAGCTGCAAATGTAAGCTGGACAAGTCTGCTGGTTAAGTAAAATCTAATAACTGAACTCGGCAGGAATGTTTTCATTAATCTGCCCATGGGTCGAGTGCATTTCATCAACCAGTGCTGACAATTTGCAAGTCATGCAGGCCATGGTTATGACTGATCAATAAATGCAGGTTTTTTCATTCTTGGAAACCCCTGGCCCTAAAGTAATCGAACCCTGGGCAATTTCTATGATAAAGTGGAAAATTGATTATGATTTTATCAACCTCATTATGGGACCTGTACATGTACATGCAATTCTTAAACAAAAAGACGTTTTTGAAGTAAAAAAAAAACAGGTGGAAATAATGACACAATTAACTTTGCCACTATTTTTTAAATTTTCTTCCTGAATTCAATAATCAGGTTGGTATACAGAGTGATCAAATGTCCACCTTCATGGGAAATTGCCCTGCTGTTCCAAATCAAACACAGGTCAATAAACCAACACAGTGATTAAAGGGGTCGCATAATAATGATGGGAATCCATGCAAACTTTGGTAAAGATTCACTGAAACTCTTGCATACTGTTTAAACTTTCACCCAACGCTTCATCCAAAATGAGGGTAATTCCAGAAATTAGGGGTCCAAAAGTGTGACATTGTGGTGTCCCTGTTACATCTGACCGTTGTTACTTGACATGGCAATAGCACCAGAATTGATTTCAAATTACTACTGTTTGTTTGGCAGGTAATTTGCATTAATTCATCACTCTTGGAAATTAGAAAATGTGATCTGAACTTACAAAATCATATGTCAGATGTGACAGGGGAACAAAAAAAAAATGGAGCCCTAATTTCTGGAATAACCCATGAGCAAAACTCTATGTCAGGTGGCATGATGTAAAAAAAAATGTAATAAGTTGTATGTAATGCATATTTAATAGTTCGTGCAGCCATTACCTGTTGATCACTGAACAATTACAAAGTTTGCTCCTGTACAGGTATGACTGCCATGTTGAATCAGTGAAAAATACAAACCAACCTAGGGAATATCCCCACCTCAGTGTGCCACTGAAGCCTTTGCTCAAGAAGGCATCACAGTTTTGCTTATGAATATCACGATTCCCACCAGCAAAGAATAATAAAGGACTCAAACTGGCCTTGAAAGACCAGAAGCAGGTCTATATTTCAACAGTTGCATTCTATTTTCAAGATGTATTTTTGCGTTGGGGAGATGTTAATTTATATAACAGGTTTTACCCTTACCCAACGTATATATTACTAAACACTGTATGCTCAATGCTTGTTCGAGAGCTTGCGGAAAAAAGTCACAAGCTTACTCGGGTGTGACTCGAACCCACTACCTCCTGCTTACTAGTGCAGACATCTTAACCACAGTTGCATTCTATATATATTCGGCCCTTTGTGAAAGCCGCAAGGAGAAACTATCTTGTATAACACCATGTACAAGCATATGTACATGTACGCTAGTTGGATGAAATCATCACTGGACAAATTGCATAGCTTTTCAGAGAGGCAATGGATGGTTCTGTTTGCTTTGATGTCACGAAGACATGCACGTATAGAATTAAATCGACCAAACCTCTCTCCTGGGCACTATTACATGTACATTTGATGGCGCCTTTTTATAGGCAAACATGACTAATCCATTTGACACAATAACCATCTCTCCCAAACTTGTACATCTACATGCAGGTGGGCGAGAAGCAATTACTGGTAAAGTACAAGTGTACATGTATGTACTAGTACCTTCCATTATTAGTCTAATTTATGTTTTAAAGTCCATAACAACTACCCAACTCTCTCAGTCAGTGTTTACGTCGAGAATGCGTAGTGTCCATATAGTATCAACATAAGGAAAGAACACGCACACAGTGAAGGTACTCTCTTTTCAACTACTGTGTACATACATGTAGTATTGTTAGGCAGAAAATTGTTATAAACAAATGTATAATTAATGAAAAATGAGCTATAGAGAGCTGACACGGAGTGTGCATGTGACAGGCTTGACAGTAACAAATAAATGCTTTGTTAAAAGTGTTCATCGAATCCCGGTATCCATGACGCAGACTGCCTACATGTAGCTGTCTCATACACTGTATTTGACAAGTGAGTACATTTGATACAGTCATCCCGAAACTGAGTTTGTGTTCCAGGATGAGGAAATTTCATGAAATTAAGGAGAGAAAGGTAATTTTATGGCAAACAAAAGAGCCCTTGACAACCCACCCAATATGTGGACGGAACAGAGTATGCATGGTTTATATAGATCACCAACCTCAGGAATACACCCAATAGTTTGCAGATCCCTGAGCCTGCCTGGAGAAATTAAAAATAATACAAGTATTTGGATTACATTAACTTGTGAATTTCTGTTCCTGGGCACCTATTTGATTGATAAAGACAGCATCCAATTTTCTCAAGGTACATGTATGATACTCCAACATGAAACAACCTCGGCACAACCTCAATAACCATGGCAAAGGAGTGGCGTTTTCGGCAAGAAATTGTAGGAGACATGCAACATTCAGCATTGTCCCTTGCTTCAACATGTGGCCTTCACATTGCAGATTTAAATTGTCAAGCAGTGGTTCTGACCTCTGACGTACACCGTCGCCTCAATTCATTTCTTGCACTTGTGGGGATTGGGACATCAACGACTGCCTGCAATTTCTATGCTGAACCATGCATGAATTTCAAGAAGCAACATTACAGTGCTTCCTGCGTGGTTGGCTCTGGGTGCTAATTGGCCAAGCTAAATGCACTATACTAGTAGATAGCAGGAACGGCCTATATTTTCACGTGGACCTATTAAGCTGCAGATAGGCCCCCCTTGTTCAACAACAGTATTGCCATGGCAATAGTTGTGAGGCTGGAACTTGGAGGTGTGTGAACGGCTTCTGATTTTTCCAGTAACCTTTTAAAGAATTCCGAGACCAAGAAAACTTTATGTGTTCCATAATGCAGATTAATACAAAGATATTTAAAAAGGAGGCAAAAAACAAACAGAAGTCAACCGTCGACCACCTAATTCAACTTCTGGCATCTGTAATTAATTCTCTGTTTCTCTTCTTTTTTTTTCCTACTTTAAAGGAAGGTCTGTCGGCCGGAGGGGGGGAATATACATTAATATTACAAAATATATAATCACTCATGTATGGCGCAGTGTCCAAATACAATAGGGCCTGTTGGGCAACCATTAAATGATTGGAAAATGGTTCTTGAGAAGCAACTGGAAAATGATTGAGAGCATTGTGTATTTAGTGCTTGAATACCCCAGGCCTAGTTGGCTGCCTGGTGTCTTGGCCTATAGGTGTGAATAGGATTACTGTGCACTGTGCTCTGGCTACAAACACGGATAAGAAGGCTTTGGGCTATACAAAATTACGTCACAATTATTTTTGTTTCACATTTTTCATTTAAACAAATGAGATCACTTACAAAATGTTGTTGCACTTTCGTTTTTAAATGCATGTATGTACATGACACATTTAATACATGTACATGTAAATCTGTCAGTCTTACTGGATGCTTGGACCATTGAGTATAAGGGTACGTTCAGACATAGAAAAAGTTGGTCCGAATTTCATTGAATTTGGGCCTTGTCTGAACTACCCTTAGGAAAGGATTAGGGTAGGAAAGCCAGTTGCATAGTGGTTTACTGCTGGAGCCCCAATGTTGGTTAAAACCATGGTGATTTATCACTTCCACTCTGTGATGCTACAAATCCTGTCGGCCTGTGGACAGGGTCACTGGCATAAAAAGTTTCCCCTGTAGCCAAAGATTATAGTCGGTCAGTAAGAGAACCACAGGTGCCCTAATCAGTCTCGCACTACAAAGACACTTACTGATACTTTGTAAATTCATAAATAAATAGATGCGACACTTTAGAGAGACATTTCTCATAAGTTTGTAGTTCATTTTTGCCATTTCTGCCATATGAGTTGCGTGATTGCTATGTTTATTCACTGCATCCATTGTTGCGATGATAAAGGGGCACAGCCAGACCTGCTCATTAACTTTGCCAGGTGTGAGCACACACAGACATCCAGTCTGCAGAATTTCCACCCAGGCCAGGAGCTATTTGTAGCTTCTGGACAAAAAAGCTTAATGTCGAATGCAACGTCCCATTATCCCATCCACCTCTGACTCCGCCCCTCCCATACCATCCATCTCCAACTCTCTCTCCCCCTTCCCATCATCCGATGTCCAACTCCACCTCTCCCATCCATCTTCAACTCTCTCTCCCCCTTCCCATCATCCGATGTCCAACTCCACCTCTCCCATCCATTTTCAACTCTCTCTCCCCCTTCCAATCATCCGATGTCCAACTCCACCTCTCCCATCCATCTTCAACTCTCTCTCCCCCTTCCCATCATCCGATGTCCAACTCCACCTCTCCCATCCATCTTCAACTCTCTCTCCCCCTTCCCATCATCCCATCTCCAACTCCACCTCTCCCATCCATCTCCAACTCCACCTCCGCCCCATCCCATCATCCCATCCATCTCTGACTCCACCTCCTCCTGTCACATCATCCCATCTCCAACTTTTGGGGTTTGTCAGTCTGATTATGGTCTATGCAAAGCCAACCCTATCCAAACATTTAGAGAATGCCAAGACTGATTGCAAGCAACCTCCTCTACATGTACGTGTACATGTGATTAATTTGGCAAGCAGTGACAGACAGTAGAACTGATCACCCTCTGCACATTTGAGCTCTCAATTGGACAGCCACAATCCTGAGCAATAACAAGGAAACTACACAGCATAGTACAGTGTAATGGCCAACTTTGATCCAAACCACAGCAGATGGAGTTTGCTTGCAAGTTCACAAGAGTGCCGTCTTACCCGAGCTCGTATTTCTGAGAGTCAACTGTACACATATTTAGTGGAGTGAGCATGTATTCACTTCTTCTTCCGACTATAGATTGGTACAACGTTATTATCCATCCTTTGTGGTATCGTTCATTTAAGGACAGTCTTCCGATCAAAGATCATGGTCTGTAGCACATGGGCCGTAGTGATTACAGGCTGTGTTCTATACTATGGGATTTCTGATACTTCTGCAATTGTAAACACAGGACCTCGTCACCACGGCCTTGGAAAACCACATGACCAATGGGTGTATTTAATGCTTACATTGATAGTTGTCCCACTAGCAAGCATATTCATCCTGTACGCACACAATGTACGATGACTAACAGCTCGCAATCAAGCCCGACGCATTGCTGCTGAAAACCAAGCAGGCAACGGCCAAGGTGGGCAGAGAATAAACACCAGATCAACCACCACCATCATCATCATAACAGGGACTCTGATCATCGCCTGGATTCCCACAGTCGTCAGGGTGGCGATTGTTGCCCACACTAAGTGAGAGGCCTACGACAGATACTTAGCTTTAGCCTTCAGAGAAGCCGTCTTGTTGTTGAATGGTTGGCTAGACATTGTTATCTACTACCCGAGGAACAGAAACCTTCGTCAGGCACTGAGTACTTTACTATCTGAGTGGTGCAATGCTTCAAAAATGCTTAGTTTAATTGTGCTCAAAAAAGTATTGGGCAAACAAAGTATGGAAAAAGATCTACAAGTACGCGTACATGCATCCACGAAGCCAAAGATGGACAAGTCACCTCCAAAGCCACATTCAACTTCATATTCATAAGGCATGATGTCCGCAGCTCCATTGCAGAAAGTCCAGGTCCTTCCCAATACCGACACAAACAACTTGGCCAAAATTCTTGGCTAACCGTGGCAGAAAATGCTGCACTTAATGGATAGGGTACTAGCACATCACAAGTGGGCAAAGGAATGTGGGTTATGCACATACATAAATCCTGTGACTACCAGTATTATGGACTCTGCACTCGATTGGGTTGGCATGGCATTCTTGTGCTAACTCTGTAAGCAGGGGATGGTTGACTCTAAGCACAAAACTGGTAAGTACACTCATGCAGTTGGGCCCAGACATGATCCACCTCTGTTCGCTGAGTCATCAGACATCCAATTTAGACACAACAAAAGCAACAAACAGCGAGGCATCCCGATCACGGAAGAGATTAGTTTCTAACACTAAGACAAGAGTTCCCAAGGAAATAATCTAATCTAAGCAGACTTTTTTTTCATTCATCTTTCAGTTCCACATTATCCGGTTTGTAACTGTGACGTCACTTAAGTTTAAACCACGCCCACTGCACATGCACAGCACATAGCTACATCCACTGATCGCAGTGGAATCACGGAACCTGAAGTTAACGCGCAACTTCAGCAATCGTCCAATTGCAGCCTGCAAATCGTGGTGCATCCACTTACGAACCAGATAAAGAAGCAACAAAGGTTATGCGGCAGCTATTTTTCTGACATTTTTGTTCCACAGGGACACACACGAGTACACCTGGACCGTTTCTGCTACTCCTCCATAACATATGCAGTCACTGGCAAGATGTCTGCCATGCACAACAACCTCTACATGCGCGGTCAAATTAACTCCTACGTACTGTCAATCATGCTAAATGTGTTAAGAAGTTGCTCAGAAAGGGTCCGATTTCACTTAAGTACATGTGCTTGCTTATTACAAAATGTTGCTGAGCTTTTTTTTTTTTGTCTGCAAGAAAATATGAAACACAAAACTGCAGAGACTTCTTACCTTGGAGCAGACAGTAATCGTGATAAGTGTCATCATCACAGCAGCATGGGCAGGGGTGACTGAGGGAGGTCATTAGATTCTGTACAGGAAAGATGGATACAGAAATATTAGGAAAGACATCATCAATGTGTGAGTACACGGTACATGTACATTGTTTCTTGCTACCACTGAGTGAAATGAGTTCATTCACATGTACCTTTGCAGGGCAGGAATAGTTCATGCGTAGGTACTGACCATTTATGTCAAAATAGCAACATCTAGACATCCTCTGGATCCTGAGCATCAATTTCTATGTGCTTAACTGGACTGCACGAGTGTCCACTGCCGCACACAGACACGAGAAATCACAGCGACTTGATTTTTGGGGGCTTCCAAAAATGGCTGCCACCACATTCAGTGAAGCACAGTACAGTTTCGAGATTAAAATAACTAGTGGCCTAAAGAAATTTGAGAAACTTCTGATTAAAACTCAGCACAGACGCTGAGAAATGGACAAAAATTTCAACCACATGAAAAACCTTTCACGGTCACAATACCATAAGCTATCCTTGACTGAGATTTCGAGTGAAATGTCCGCTGACATCCCCTCACGCATGAGATAATCTAGGGCATCCAAATATGGCCTGAGCGACCTCAGCCCTTGATGTCGATGCGCTATGAGTCAGTGTGTAGAGATCAGTGACCTTAGGCCTGTTTGTTTCACGCCGATCTGGATCGCGATCAGTGATCTGTTGTTGGTTCACTGACCCCGGAACTTGCTGCTGGCTAGCGCGATCCAGATCCACGTGAAACAAACAGGCCTAGAGTGTGAGGATGTGTTTTGCAAACCCTGTAGACAGGAATAATTACGCAGAGTTCTTTGGTCTTTGCTGAAAGCACAGCGTTAACTAGCTGCTTTTACCATGAAACTTTTTCCTATTCTGGATGTGAATTAGGGAAACTCTAAAATAATAATGTGTTTGACAAGTTCATGTGGTCTGGGGGAAACGTATTTTACACTCCGGTAGTGCAAGACCTAAATACACTACAACGATAATTACCCTTTTGCACACATCTTCAGGTAAGTCCTCAGTAACTCCATCTGCTGTGTGTTGTGACAAGATGTCTTCCCAACCGCTGCAAGAGAGGAAATGAAACCTGCAGTTTACAGGGGGAAAAAATCAAAGGACAAAATAAACCTAAAACGCTGTCTGTCAAAAAAAGACAAGATGTGAAATGGCAACTGACACCCACTATCAGCTTCAGTTTAGTCGACCATTCACGGCATTGTTCCAGTGTGACTCAGAATGAATCATGAATGTAACCCACATGTATGGAGGCACCAGTGTCAAACACACAAAGCCTATATTTTCTTGTTTAAGATGCCGAACACTGTGCTTACAGCCAGTTTGCTGGCACGTTTCTACAGTGTACCTGTATGTCTCGACACGCTGTAACCTGTGGATTTCAAGCAAATAACTTCAGTTTTCTGAAGTTATTTTGCTTTTGGCTCTCATGAAGGCTAGAAAGTACAAATCACACCACTGCAAATGCCCTATTTCTCAGTTTATCGCAAGTTTATGGACCCCCGAATTTTCCAGCACTGACTAAAACCTTCATTTCAGGGATTCCGAGAAAATGTACTTGGTTGAAAGTTTGCTTGAACTGACCTCTTATACTGTGTCCTCCAATGAGCTTGAGTGTGTGGCACACCAATGATGTCTCAGGGAGATACCTCCAGGTTGCTTTCACTTTGCTTTAAGAACCTGATCGAGTCTGTTATGAAACGGCTGGCTATCCTCTACATTCTCTGTGGTTTTTACAGCTGCTTGGTCGATGCCTTCTTGAGATAATCTGACTCCTGGGCACAACTGTATTAGTTTCTGCCTGATGGAGCTCTCTTTAGCAAGGGGCAGATGTTCACGTACGGGTGGATGGAATCCTTGTCAGAATGCTTCTCTTACACATTCAAATGAATACCAACTCCTTTTGGGGCAAGAGAAGAACCGTGGAGGGATTTGACAAAAGCTTTAGATGATCCTGTTACTCTAGTGCACTCACTCTGGAAAACTGTGAAAGCCAATTTTAGGGGAAATGTTATGCATCTGGCATACGTATTTTCTTCCTTTTGGGGTCAAAGTTGTGACTCTATTCACTTCCAATATGGAGTTTCTGAACTTGAGGGTTTCTGGTGATAACAAGTTTGCATGCAAACAACAGTCTGTTAGATGCTACCGCTACATGTACATGTATGTGTTCACTCCAGAATGACATTCATTTATTGCAGGACTGTTTTTCCAAACACCTTGCATGGTAGTCAAGGATATCCATAAAGATTGCACCTTCCTGTTAGTCCGGCCGCACACTGACTCCATTAGTAAATTGGTCTAATATGCACGTCAACACTTTAAGACATGTTTCAAAATAGACGGCGATCACAAAGTGCTTTCTACAAAAGTAATGTTCAAGCTAAGGGAGGGGGACATCTCCATGAAAAATGTTGCTGTGTGTTAATCTTGTCCACTGTCAGTATCACTACTGTCCTGAGGAAAGTCCCCGTGGTCAATAGGTTCATCTGTGAAGTGTACAGTCTCTTGGTGCACTGAAAGACGCTCCTGTGACGAGAAGTACTTGCCGCAGACTTCGCATTCCACTATTGCCCCTTCCGTGTGAAGCAGCTGGTGTTTGCGCAGGCTACTCCGCTGGGAGCAGGCCTTGCCGCAAACGCCGCAGACGAAGGGCTTCTCCCCCGTGTGGACCAACTGGTGGCGCTTTAGGCTACAGCGGCGGGCGAAGGCCTGGCCGCAGATGCCGCAGACGCAGGGCCTCTCCTTGGTGTGCATCCACTGGTGGTCTTTCAGGCTCTTGCGGTAGGGGAAAGACTTGTTGCAGATGGGGCAGATGAAGGGCCGCTCACCCGTGTGCACCCGCATGTGGCGCTTGAGGCTGCTTCTGATCGGCAGCGACTTGCCGCACACCCCGCAGGGGAAGGAGCGCTGCCCCGTGTGCACGAGCTGGTGGCGGCGGAGGTTGCTGCTCTGCGAGCAGGCTTTGCCGCAGATATCACAGACGTAGGGCCTCTCCCCGGTATGCGCCGACTGGTGACGTGTCAGGTTGCACTGGCGGGGGAAGGACTTGCCACAAGTGTCACATTTGAATGGCTTCTCTTTTAAAGCGACCTCTGATGAAGACATGCTATGCCAAGTCCCAGTGTCTCAACAAGAAAAAATTTCTACCACCAGTGCAAGGTATCTTCTCTGAATGCCTTTCCTTGTCTAAGAAGTCCAGAAGTTACCACCTAGGATCTCCTCTTGGTCTGGTTGAGGCCACACCTTAGAAAATGACTTCCAGGTTTGTCTTCCTCGTCATACTGTAGCTTTCTGAATAAAGGACAGACAGGATAAAAAAGATTAACACTTGTGCTTCAAACGCCCCAAAATCCACCCACATCACTGTGTGTACTACATGCTACACCGTGCACAAGAACTGCACATTAGCTAGTGACACTGTGTAATGATATGATGATTTGGTAATTCTTTATTTCATTGGTACCCCGGTACATGTACCTGGTACATGCATATAACAGAAACAGACACCTGGTTCCCACCATAGGGTACCAGTAAAATGCACAGGCCAACAGTTGAGTTGATGAGTTAGTGAAGAGAGCTTCATACATGTACAAGTACAGTGTATGATGCTAACTGTTGACAATTACTTGAAGCAAAATGAGTCCCTCTACATGTGCTGTAGCTCCGGACTACATGTAGGTACAGTCTAGGGGACCACTTGTACATGTACCTTAATTATCAGAATATGCGTCGATTCTCACGCTGAAACATGTCCCTGCGGCTTAAACTCCGGGCAGCTTATACGGCAACATTTGAAGAATGAAATCAATCACTAAATGCTGCCCTGCGCTGTGCCTCAGCGCAGCCTAACTGGGCCACCGCTTATTGTTTCACTGGTCATTTGGTGACTTTTTAACAAAAAAAAGAACTGCTACGTGGCCCACCCAGGAAGGACACTCACTAGTCCAGTCTACCAAAATTAACAATTTTGAGGACTTGGTATAGGTTGAATAACAGCACTAGTTCACGTGTCGCTTACACTTGAAGATTGCACAGGCCTACCCAAAAGTGACGTGGACCCTAACATTGGGCACTTCAAACTTTTGCCTCTAAGGTTTGTGTATTATTTGGGGGCAAATTTTTTTTAAAATTTTAAATGTATGAATTTTACAAAAGGTAAAATTTAATCAAACTCCAAATATTCTGATTCGTAAATGTCAATTTCATAAAGCCACTACAAAGTTCCAATGAAATTTTGTTCTGTCCCAATTTTCAGATTTTTTTTTTCTAAGTGCAAAATGAACTCTTTTAAAATGCGCCCTAAAATATTTGGACATGATCAGGCAAAAGTAGGCTCCTTGGATCTTCCGTACTTTATATCCATTAACTACGTGTAGTAGCACTCATACATGTACCCACCCCCCCGCCAAAAAAATCGAGTGATTTCATCCTAAAACAGTCTAGAAACTGTCCTATGCATCCACGCGATGATTCAGTAGGAAGTGACAATTCCAATGATGGTGGTAACACTGGTTAGGTTCACTTACATTGTACATGTACATTATGCATTTGGGAAGGAAAGAGAAAATCACGTACATGTACAAACTGGCGTGTATTATTAACCCTAACCCTCCTCAATCCTTCACCTGTTGGAGGACTGAGGAGTGTTAGGGCTAAAGCATGCTCTGCATTTAGCAGGGCACCTTTCCACACAAGGGAAAATGCGTACATGTACATAAATAAACTGTAAAATACACCGTGCAGTGGAGCTTTGGGGGAAGCTCAAAGACTGTTTCACGTGTAGCTGTGATTTCACTGTCAGTGAATTTTGCCTGGTACTTGTGTGTATACTGGCAAAATCATCGAGTGGTTAAGAAATAGCCGTTGCCTGAGCTTGTATAAATGACGTATCAGAGTCCTGCACACTTTGTGCACACACGCAATAGTTGGGGGGTGATAGTTGGCCGGTCTATGATTATCATCATTTTTAACATGTTTCGAAAGTGTATGCAACCGATTCAACCGCTCTCCCTCAGCGTACGGTTTGTACGCTCGTGAAAATGACAAAAATGGATGACCCCTTAGGAGTTTTAGTGGGGATGCGAGTGCAATTAACTAATCCTCCTATACCATTAGCACAACGTTGTCCTATCAGTCAAAATCAGTCAGATTATGATAAATCTATGTACTGTGGAGGGAAAAGTGGAAGGAATTTTGGACTAGCTGCTACTGACACTGTAAAAGGATGGTTCATGGGTTATGAGATGTACACAAGATCCAGGACCCTAAGTTTTACCCAATCATGCATGTCCAAATGTTCAAATGGAAACTTTGTAGACCAATTTTGGGCTGGGCTGCTGGCATGGCTGAGGAAAAAAGATAAAGACTTGTTTCCTGAGCAGAAATTGGTAATATTCCCCTGCAGTGGTTTATCAGCCATCAGCAAGCAACAACATGTCCTATAAAGCCAAATTTATCAAGGAAAATATTGAAGCATTTCCTTAGAAAACACTTTTTCAGACCAGTCACCAGTCTCAGAGGCAAAAATGTTGCATCCCTCCTCCACTTTCGTCATTATCTTGATAAAGGTAAGTCACGAAATGCTGACAAGACATCAATCTAGCCTATACATGTATGTCTGGGACCACTTCCATGCTGCTGGGACTGAGAAAATGTGAAAAATTTCTTAATATTTTCAGGAAAAGTCTTTGAACATTGAACTTTATTGTGTACATTACACACGCTGAAGTAAAGTCAGGATGGACCATTCTTTCAATAGGTGATAATGGGATAGCCTGGACTATATTTGGGTAGATTGGAAACGACTGCAAAAGCAAAGCAAAGCAAAGACAAGGATAGATGGCCAATTTTGACCCCGACGCGTGGGGTACACAACATGGTCAAGATGGCCGACAGTGACAACTGAACTGAGCTAACCGAACTAAATTTTACTTTGACACGAATTCGACAAACAGAAACAGAAATTCTTACCTTATTTACCAGCTTAGCGTTTCTATATACTCTAGAGGAGCCCATAATTCTGAAATTCATTGCTTTGGTTGTACTATTTTGAAAAATTTCAAGGTTAGGCCCTATTTGGTCCACGCTTCGTTAGGTAGGCGAAAACACACGTATAATTTATGAACAAACTTCGCGGCGAGGAAGGTGAATTGCGCCCTCTGTCTGTCCGTTGACTGAACACAGCCGGTCGACTTGGTAGAGGTGCTTCGGATTGGGTTGACTAGGCTGAACCGTCCAGAAACATTAAAGACATAAACCTAATCCGAGCTGAAACTGATGTGAAATCTCCAAACTGACCCGACAAAAAATCAGGGAAAACCCACCTGAACCGACAAAAAGTGAACCCGAAAAAATCCGAACGACTGGTTTGAGCTGATCACCATTCATACAAACTGTATCCGTTTTGTGCCCGAACATATGTATGAATTTATGTTGGGCAAAGTTTTCACAACAAAATTGGAACGATTTTTCTTTCGAGAAAAATAAGGCAGATAAACAGACAACGTTACATACAGAAATGTAGTAACCCATTCCACATATTGTGAACAGATTTTGTTTCGTGCAATCGAAAAGACGATTACAAATCTTGTTCAAACAAAACTTTTAATACACAAAACATCTGAAAATACTCTGCTGTTCAAACTTTTTGAAAAGGGTATTTCCGAAAACAGCAATCTCTTTACATTTCCTGGTACCGGCGATGCATGCACGCATACGATGAAAAATCGTGAAATGCGTAATCGTGCAGTTGGAATTCCGAACAATGTGCATGCGCAGGTCACCTCAATACGACTACCGTACCGGTACGTCTTTGAAAAGTTTTCATTTCATGAAGTGCGCCCTCCATCAAGAATGACGCATGCAGAACCCCTTGAATAGTGAAATATCCCATTTATCCTAACAGACAAAACAAGAACATGATAATGATGATTAAAATCGTTAAATTGAATTCTGTATGTTCGTATCACTGCCATGAGCACATTCGGTATTTCAACGTGTGTGCGTTGACGCTTAGCGGCATTTTCAGAAGACCCATTTTCACGCAGGTCTTCAAAGTTCGAAACTCACGGAGGAAAAGGCAACTACGAATAAACAAGACTGTCTTTTACTTGAAGCTTGAATTGTTATTGGCTGAAACTTGTATTACGGAGCCAAATGATATGCAAGAGGGCCTAGAGCTCTAGAACTTTTTGACTAAAAGGGGCCTTTGTGTCAGTTCTAGCGAAAGCGACATGTTTTCCTCAACGTAGTTATCCATGGAGGGATTGCCAACTTGGAACTTCTCTTGCCGAGTTTTATTTTACTTCAGAAAGACAGGCACGGCAGGTGTGGCGGTGTTGCAATGTAGGTTCACCACAGGCTCAACACCAGCGAAATCACAATTCCTAATTTGGGATGCTCCAAAATGGAAACCCTGCGGATAAAAAAAACTAAGTTTGCCAAATACACGGCAAATGCATGCTGGAGTAGTCTACGGACCTAGGGTTTTCAACGAATTTTTCGAGGGACTCGATATTTTCCCTGATGACATCCTGGGACGATAGTACTGCACACACAACAGGTGAAATGATTTGCTCGGGAAATATTTCACTTTCTATGTTTATTGATCAAACACAAAACAAATACACATTAGAAAGTAAAAGCTCGAATCAAACAAAATCAAGGAAACTGAAAAACAGGAAATAATTAGAAAGTATCATAGAAGAGGGGTCCATGAAGAAAAATGGTCCCTATACATGTACATTTGAATTGATTGCATAGGGTCTACAAAATTAGAATTAAAATTTCCGTTTTTTATATTGAAGACTACATGTTTGATATTTTATAGCAATCTTAAATTCTATATGATACTGATTTTATGAAAATAATCTTAGCCCCAAAAGGAAGAAATTGGAGTCTGGAATTTACATCTATACAAATTTAAACTTAGTAAGAAAAACAGAAGTCAAAAATCTGTTATGGAGAACACCAAAAAGAATTCAAATTTCCCAAACTGATTAGGTTCTTTGAGATTTTGATTGATAAAAGACATGAAGTCTGACAACATGGATGAAAGATGATCACACTCATAAAAAATACGACTCGAAGTTTCGGGACAGTTATTACAAAAGCAGTTAGGAGAATCATTTCCTCCAGTTTTAAAAAGAAAGTTATTAAAGGCAATAGCCCAATGAAACATCTTAAAATAAAAAGCTTCTAATCTGGTTTTAATTGTACATTTATAGTTGCGTGTTTGAATCGCCTCAAAATGTTCATCTTCCAAGTTTATATTTAAAGCACTATTCCAAAAATTCTTTTGGTTTTCGGGGTATACTTAGAGATATTCTTTGACATGAGAAGGTTATTTTTAACCACCAAGGCCATGAAGGTATCGGTCCTTAAATATTGAGGCTAGGTTTTAGACGGCTAGCAAGACCTCTGCCCCACATCATGATTTAAGTCTCACTACTGGTTCTGTGCCATTAGCTTGGAAACAGAGTAGTATGTCTCTTATATTTAAACAAGGGGATTTCCGAGAGGTTAACAACAGGCCAATCGCTGTTATTCCAATTTGTGTGAAGATTTGTGAGAAAATTGTTCACAAGCAGCTGATATCTTACATGGAAAAACTAAATATTTTAACAAAACAACAGTCGGGTTTCAGCTCTATGCACTCAAACTTGTCTTTTGAATGTTTCTGATTATAAACTGGAAAACGTGGATCTGGGAAGTCTTAAGCTTCACTAGGGCAGTTTTACTAGATCTTAAAAAAGCTGCTGACACTGTTTGTTATGGACGACTTTTGATGAACGCAATTGCATTGGAGTACAGGGTTTGGAGCCTGACTGGTTTTCATCTTACTTGTATGGGCGTGAACAAGTGACTAAAATTGGTGACAATTATTCTCTTTTCTCTGAGGTAAATTTGGAGTACCACAGGGTTTTGTATTAGGGCCACTTCTTTCTACACTATGTATCAACGACCTCGCTAATATATTTTACCGCACGATTTTAAGATATTTTTTCTAATGCTGATGACACGGATATTATCACACAGGCTAAGTCTATTGAAGTTATTAAATGAAGTAACTCCACGATAAGCAAATTTGCGTTTTCCTGAGTTAGATTTAGAGGGCGGAAGTACTAAATTTACCTTGTGAGCCGTGAAAGTGATGATTGGAGACAAGACAGAAACACTTAAACAACTGTTGAGTGTTTGTCTCACACTTAAATACTGCCACCCAACAGCAGGCAAAAGATTATCTGTAGGAGATATATGACGGAGTCCTAAAATAATTCGGCCGACATTATTTTGAATTCAGTCAAGCTGGGAAAGCAGGGTTTTTCCCGAATTATACCCCAAACAGTGTCGCAATAATCAAATTGTGGAAGAGTGAGGGTTTTATGAAACACATTCAAAGTATGTTGTGGGAGAACGATTTTCGTCCCCCAGAGGACCCCTACACGTTTATTGACAGTCTTCACAAGTTTGTCAATGTGGGCATTCCATGTGAGAGATGAATCAAGACATCCATCAAGATATTTAAACTGGATCACATCGTCAATGACAGTATTAATTTTAACTGATTAATTAATTGACTAATTAATTTTTCCTCTACCTCATATTTTTACTTGCGTTCCAAACAACATATTTTTAGTCTTGTTGATGTTAAGAGTAAAGTAATTTGTTTGAAGCCAATTCAAAACTTTGACGACACGGCTATTGAGGGTTCTATTAATAGTCTGCCTGTAATACTTCATCCCCTGCCTTCGACAATAGCCAGTTTTGAATCTGACTATGATTATGGGTGCATTCCACCAAGTGGTTCAATTTTTGGAATTGTTTTTTTTTCTATTTTGGATAGATTTCCTTGGTTTTGAGCCATTTTTACTGCAAAACCGGCCCTCAAGGTGATATTAAAGGGTGCATTCCACCAAACTGTTGTATTTCTGCGCGCCAGCTCATTCATATTTTATGATCCCACGGGATTTTTTACAATAAGACAGGCAATACTCAGGAGGCATCATAGAAATATTTCAATAAATCCCGAATTTAGGACTGATTTAGTTCCCAGTTCGGGGTACTTCTTTCACAAAAAGCCCCAAATTGCAGGCCTATTTTGGGTAAAGGCGGGCGGCTACATTCAGAAATGAGCGCTTAGTTTTACTTCTATTTGGGGGGTATCTTCGTTCAAAGGCGAATAAAAAAATCGTGGCTAACCCCCATGAAATTGAAACGAAAAGTCATCTTGAAAACATAAAAAATTCGGAAAAATTGTAGTGCAAAAATAGCAGTAACACTGAGGTTCCTGCCGTAAATAACATTATACGTTTGCTCACAAATATGCAAATTCATATTAGCATATAAATCAGAAACGCACCAAAACGCTCTGAACAGGAGGGAGGCTAGTGGGAGCTTTACTCCCCAATATCCCCCTCTCGAAAAAAGGTTCCAAAAATGAAAAAGCAATAGCGAAAATTAAACCGTAACGTCACGTGCGAAGGGTCTAACCCCCCCCCGAAAAAAATGTGGCTCTAGAACTGCTCCTGGCCCTGAACATGGCCCAATAAAAATTGAAATCAAGTTAAAGGTGACAAAATGGAGGATTACAAGAACTGCACTAGTGAGGGATTTGAACCAAATCTCTTTAGGCCTGTATGGGAACGTGGCAATTGGTGGCAATTGGGACTCGGGGAGGGGACGACGAAGAGAAAGCAGCAAGAATCAGGTACTCGTTAGATTCAATTTATTTCTCTTCGATTCATATTTATTTCGAGACCTTTCGAGACCCTTGTAAGACCTTCAAAGATTCTGAACAGAAGGACACGATAAAATACAAAAAAAAATTTGTCAACGCACAAAACTAAATACTTCGTTATAACTTAACTTGATCTCACTCACTCGCAGCATATTTTGTCGAGCTGTGATTGTAAGCAGCCCATAGACTGGGAACGAGGTTACAGCTTCCCCCAATTTCAGCCAGTATTGAACAACATACACTGATAATTTGGATTAACTTTAACCCTTTGGGCGTGTCAGCAAGCTATCCAGCAAAGAATGGGGGGCGTATTATTTTTCCTTTTATATGCATCGAAAGTCTACACTTTTTGAATATCCGCCCATTGCGTTCAGCTCACAATATCTGCAGCATCTGCGTCAGTTTCCTCCATGTTAATGGTTGTTTTGATGCAATCCCCATTCTCAACTGCTTATCAGTACTCCCTTATTGAAATTTTAAAAAGTTTGATGGGGTTGACGCCGACAATACGGACGATTCACAATATGGTGCGCCTCCAGGAGTTTGCAACGCGTTGGCCAATCACAACGCGCGAAATCTGACAACCTTTCCCAAATTAGTCTGGATACCAGATTCAATGATTCTGACTACCCAACGAATGAAGGGTCCGGTATCACCCAATATCACGTGACAGGGACTGGAGGAATTCCTCCAGTTTTCCGGAACAACCAAAATACTCCGACGTCGTACCGTCTAATTTTGCATGTTCGGATGGTACCGTTGATGTTCGGTTATTCCCGGTTGGGTAGGTGGGCTTGTTGAACGTAAACCGTCAACAATATCATGCACTGGCATATAACGACCTCCAAGCAACTTACTTGTTGATGGGTGTGTGTGTGGAAGGAATGTTGCTGTACAAGAATTGATCAACTAAAAGAATTTCGAAAATGCTTATGGATAATTTTGATTTTCTGAGATTTTTTCAAGTGCGCCTCATTAGGGAACACTCAGCTGAATTTGAACCCACCACACGTAGGGAATGAAATCGAAAACATCTGGGTTTTCAACTTGTGACCTCTGACCCTTGCGTCATGTCTATTTATATCCGTGGGTGATGCCTGACCTAAGATTCTTTATCAAGGGTCATCAGGGAATCTTTGGGCAGGGAACCAGACTATTTCCAAATGCGCATTGGGTCGACAAATTTCGCGCAATGTGATTGGCCGACGCGTTGCAAACTCTTGGAGGCGCAATATTGTGAATCGCCCGTATTTGCAGGCATATTAAAATACCAAACTAAGGAGGTGATGCACATCTCGCTGGCTCCCTGCGATCTGCTGAACACAGTACACACACTGATTTATATAAACGTTGTCGGGGATCTTCAGCAAATTTCTGAACTGATCAATGCTGGTTTTCCTTCACTGTTTTTTTTTTTAATTTGGAGGTAGGTTTCTGCAAGGTATTCACTGTCCGATATTCCCCAAGTAGGGCTACCAGAGTTAGCTTAGACTCAAACACAGCCAACAAAATGTTTTGATAATTAGTTTGTGAGAACCAACCCGATCATTGGAAGTAACATTATGCAGGCTTACTATGTACAAGAGTTGAGCTGATATTCATTAGATGAAAGCAAAAGGCCTGTCATCAAAACTCAGACAATTTAACAGGTGAAACTCTTTAACCTTATCTTATTCAATATTACTGAAATAAGTTAAAACCGAAACAGTTTCAACACATATTGCTGTTTCATTGCTGCTTCTCGCACAGGATACTTCCGTGAAGACCACGGTGCCATCGAATAGGAATGCTTGCCTTAGTTGCTGACAGCATTAAATAAAGACCTGACATCGTAATTAGGGAATGAGGTTTAATATAAGAAAAGGTCACTGCTACAAAATAATTTAGTTATAACAGCATCACAGGAAGATGTCATGAGTATTTGCTGATGTGGTATTTCAACGTTATTCGGTTACAGCCACGCTGAAGCTCTTTTCACACAAGTGCTGCTGTATCGGAAGACATTTCTGAAGAGGGTTCCACTGAGTTCGAGTTTTGTCTGTTTGCCATGTCGGATAAGGCGCTGGCGTCGAGGGAGAGGAACTCATTTCCTGTACCGACAGAGGGCGCTGCGCCGTTGGGCAGTTGGGAGGAGCTGCTGGACATTGGGAGGAATGCAGGCAAGTATGAACTGTCTCCGCACACTTCGGTGTACGAGGGTGGCACCTCGATCGACGAGCTCGCCACAGCAATGTCCTCGGGCTTGGGCTCGCCGTCGAGGCCGAACTGGCGATACGGCACCTCGACCACAGTCTCCCTCCGGCGCCGGCACAGCCGGGACAGCGACACGTTGACCTGCCAGGTGTTGATTGCGCCGAAGAACAGGATGCCCACGAAGAAGAAAAAAATGGACGGGTAGCTCATCTGGAAGGGCTTGCCGTTGATGAGCGAGATGGAGATGCAGGCCAACGGCAGGAAGGCCCTGAAGATGATGCAGGTGTAGGCGGACAGGAACAGGACGATCCGCCGGCAGCGCTCCTCCTGCACCCGCATGACCTCCATCAGCTTGCCCAAGTTGAGGAGGAATATGTCGCCCGTGGAGACGGCCAGGACCAAGCCGATGGTGGCGTCCTCCCCCGTCAGGAAGACAGCGGCTGCGGTGGCCACGGACACCACATAGATGATGATGTTCATGTACTTGACGTAGTCGTTCTTGGCCACCAGGCAGATGCGGAACAGCAAGAAGATGAAGACGCCGCACACGACACTGAAGAGGATTCGGAGCTCGCTAGCACAGGGGGCCGCGAAGGGTGACTCTAGGGTCCTCGAGGTGAAAGTTAGTACTATGGTCGCGATGGGAAGAGTGGTGAAGAGCACTGCATCCAAGTAACTGTAAATAAATTTGGAGGGAAAAGGGGAAAAAATTAAAGGGGTTTACGGTTACCCCTGTCGAAAATGGTGTAATTTCTTTTACATTCACCCGAAACGTCGATTCATACTTGGCGCGAAAGCAAATGCGAAGCAAATTTGTGACGTCAGATTAAATTTGCAACATTTGAAGACTTTCCAACTCGAGCGGATGTTGCAGCACATTTCTCGCGAAGTCAGATTCGCTTCACTGTCGCATTCGCCCGAAGCATGAAACGGCCTTTCGTTTGGGAAAGACCATTTCCCAAGCAACAACACAAAGCAAACACACAATTATTACGAAAAAGGGCAGGAAATGGGAAGTTTCCTGGTTTGACCAATTTTACTGTTAGAGTTCCTTCTATGGACGTAATAAACAGCAGTGGGAAAAACCAACCATCCAGGAAATGACGAAAAATGACATTTTGTCTGCATGGGGTACGGACTGGTTTATTTTCAGATGAAGACGTGTTCCTTGCGCATTTTATTAAAGAAACACATCAAAGCATCTGACAACGAGTATTATTGTTTCTTATTTCTCTGTACTATCATAACGTCTGTATGAATTTGTTTTACACCACATAAGCACTTGATCAATGAACACAACGAAACGACCACTTTACATGTTCAGGACCTTGGATATATTTCATAACTCTTGGGAAACTGCACTGCAGAAGCGTAGTGCTAAATTAACACCGTACAGGTTGCAGCGTCATATTAACACTGGACGCATCAAACCTCTTGTACAGATTTCCAAGCAAGGTAAACCTCGACTGTATCATCAAAGTGGAGTCCCTCTCTTTCATCGCTAGAGCTACTTTGTTCCTGTGCTTGTCCTAAAATAGAACCTGCAAAATTCCTTCAGTGATGACACGTCGGAGCTTGTAAAAAACTGTTGTCAACTCGATCTCGAAAACAGACACCAGCCCCAATCTCTGGGAATGCCCTTTCATGTGACTCGTGACTTGTCGCATGACCACTCATCTCGTTGGTTATCGATTGCTATTATTTATTCAAGAATTTGTCATGATTTTTTTTCTGCTCACTTTAATAAATAAGTAAACATGTATTTCAATAAATATACATCCTAAAGCTAGCGACACTGTTATTTCGTTTTCAGGTGTCAGTTTCGTATATAGAGTTGACTCGTCTTCCTTCATATCACAAGGTATAAAATGATTTTTTTCTTTGCACAATTATGTTAAATATACGTGTATAGCATAAGCTAATTAAATATCAGCACAACGAATTTTTCAACACCCAAACCCGGACTTGCCACACCTTCGATTAGGTATCAACGACCAGCTAACACAGCGAACCAGCCCAGATTGATTTTATGGATTATAACCAAATAATACATAGGAGGAAAAATTGTCAACACGCCCATAGCTTTCAGGATTGGAACATGAAATAGCCGCGGCAATCGAATGATTCGCTTTCCTCACGTGCATAACTAATTTGTTTTGAAGGGGGGTCAAAGTGCGTCTAGCGATACGTCATTTCGGTAAGGTACGGATTAGTTTCATTTGTTCAACGCGAATTACCGGAATAGGGCTATAAAATGTCATGAGTTGTAATACCTGAAATTATTTCAACTGGTGTCATATCCTGTAAGTGAAGATAAAATACCCACGCATGAATAGACTCAGGTTTAAAAATGGTTTAAACACAGTGCTATGGAATGTAACGAGAAGCTTGGATGCATTATTGTCATGTTAATCAGAGAGTACATCTTGAACTTAGGCCAGAGATAACATAAGTGACTGGTTTTAGCCGTGGACTATCAATAAATATGATTTTTTTTTTAAAACATATGGTTTAAATTCCCGAATCCCAAGCATTAAACACTTGGCGTAGGTCATAATATTGACGCATTTGCATCAAATTGCGTCCTCCTTGGAATAAAAGAGCTGAACTTTAAAGCGTAGCTGCAATACATTTTTCTTGACACAATTTTCTACAGCGCTATAGTCTTATTCAATGTATCAAACCATTTTTCATTTCTGTTAAGTTACATGCATTGAAAACTGCACTCTTTGAAATTAAAGTTATCCCTGCTGTCCCGGATCCCAGACGTCTTAGGGCGCTGTTGCTGTGATTTCATCCATGGAAGACATGGTCCAGGACAAACTTTTTTCTGTTCAAATTGTGAACCCAGAATATAGTCCCTAAAATACATTTCTGAGAAGGGTTCTTTGATTACTTCTTGCTTTAAACTTGCACGACAATTGATCACCAAAGAAGAGAAAGTTAAGGCCAGCAAAAATCTTCCTTCTCCGTCCCTTTAAACAAATTCGGTCTGACTCTTCCGAGAAAGATTCAGCACGAATGGAAACTAGGTCCCTATCTCTTTTTCCCCCCGTGTACAAGAAAGATCCCGGGGGAACATTGCTGGCACGCGAATAACGAGGGCGTGTACACGAGCTATCGACGTCTGAGTGCCCGGCCCAGCACCTGAGCAATTAAAGGTGCGGTCTACTGTCTACATAGCGCTGGACTTTAAATTCCTACAGTAATTCCAACTAACATGCGCCCCAATCCGTATTAATAAAGTCGCTCCCGAGCGGCCCCATGACAACAACGTTCTTTCGGTTTATTGACTTTAATATACGTGACAAACAGAAAGACAAAGACACCGAATCATAATGTCGACTTAAAGATGAACGCAGTCCATTCAAAAGTAAAGCTGAAAACTGTAATTGTCGACAACATGCTGCATGCACATGGACCGTTGTCTACAATTTTTCCTTTGAACGACCGTTGTAAAATTGGAATAAAGAAATAGCCTACATCATTTACATGTTATTTCATGCCCACGACAGCTGTCCCCACAGAGTTCTCTAAGAGGAACTAATTGTCACAAAAGCAGCCATTATTATCACCTCTCGAAACGGGCCGCTCCTTGCAAAATTATTAGTCTTTTTCGACTCCAGACCTGTATAAAGTCTAACATCAGGCAGTGATTTGACTTTAAAGCAAGCCAGCAGCAGTTCAAGTTCGATTCTGTGCTTGCTTTTCTTTGAAACTTCACAGTTTTCTAAAGCATGCTGCACGGTCTAGCTTCGTTGGCCGTATGTTGATTAGTCACCCGGCCAGTGCTTCGATCCCTTCCCAAATCCCCCTTGCCCCGGGGAGCCCTCTGCATCCCCTGAGCGGAGGGGGTAGCTGCACCGCAAACTTCCTCTGAGGATCCTCCCACTATGGCGGCTGGCACGGTAGTCCCTCGCACGTCCCGTGTGGCCAAGCCTGACAAACAGGCCCAGACCTGACCTTAAACCGCTACACTACATGTACTCATGTCAAGACCAAGTTCGAAAGGCTGTTAAAAAATCCGCCATCTTGAATCCTACACCGGCCCTCAATCCTTTAAATTCAATGTAACGTTTCACACTGAATATGGGAATAAAAATATATTAAAATTATTTGTAAATATTACATACACAACTCACTTGTTGAAGCACCAAAACCCAACTTGTCAAGTTGAAAAGATACGGGTAAGGGTGTCTAAAGTGACAGGATTTCACCGGTCAGTCTGACAAATTGAATTTGTTTGTCCAACTGACGAGACAGAACGCACAGGATTGTCGATCGGCCCGACGGACTGTATCACGTCAAGATGACGAGTGAAATCTCTCTGTTCCTTGCCGAGCGAGGAAAGAGATAATCAGATTTGAAAAGTTAGGTTTGATGGACGACGAATTAAAGGGATCAAAATTACTGATTTGCTCAATTGCTGCCCCAACGAGTTTGTTCACTCGCAAAAGTATAAGATGAATGCCGTAGAATGGGTAACTTTGCATGGTGGAGGTTGGGATGCATCCGAATCTGTTGCCTTCAGCTACATGTGCATAATGTGATAGGTCTAACTTCTGAGCCAACACGCGGAGATAATGGACGAAGTAGACGCGGCTCTGGTCGCTCGTTTTGGACTCGGACACGGCCACAAAGAAAATGCTACAGCCAGACCCACCGTTTTAACTCCCTAGTGTTTACACCTGTTAAAAATACTTCAGTTCAAAAGAAGATAGACGGTATAGAAATGTCGCCGACATACCACTCGGAAGTAGTTGTGTCTTTTAAAACAAACAAAACACAAAGACAAAAATAAAGCAACCAACTAACCAGCCAGCCACGTAAAAATAAGAATTCATCGTATCTAGGTCGAATTTGGGGTCATGATACAATTGGCCATGGACCCCAGTCCATTTCTTATCAACAAGCGATTGAGTCAGTCAAGTCGAATTTACGGTAGAGATAAACCAACAACTGCTGCGTTTCCTGACCCAGCGGCTCGACAGCCTGCTCCCCAGTAATAACTGGGAACAGGGCAACAGAACGCACGAAAAGGCGGTACCAGCAGTTGTGTGCGGGTGATTGTGTGTGTGTGTGTGGGGGGGGTTAGTGGGTTTAAGAAGGGGGGTTAGGGGAAGGATATAGTCCCCCCCCATATCAGGGCTGCCTGTATAGAGGATGTAGAACATCAACAGCCTGCTTGGCCAATCTATCTTGTTTAATACAGAGCAGCAGGGCGTGTAGACGGTTCATTCACGGTGCCAAGAGTGGCGCTGTATTTCAATGTTCTCCACTTGGACTGAGCTAAACAAAATATTATCCGTAATCACATGGTGTTGCTGATTTTACGCACTAATTAGTTCTTTATGGTTTACAATATGATATCACAGCGTGGGCGGACGCAATAACATCGGTGAGCTCCCCCGATAATTTCAATCCCCATTCCCTTTTAAAAGGATTACATGGTTAGGGTCTTGTTTTCAACCATAAATCAACGTTACTATTCCGCTTCAATTATCGCGGTGTAATTCAAAATAGACATCAATTTCCAGCGCAGCAAAATGATGCTGCCCAGCCAATGTGTGGAGATAGGCCTACAGGGGGTCCAAGCGAAGCAAAGACGGCGGCCCAATTCCGATCACCGTCCGCTGCACAGGGCGCAGAGCTACAATGATATTTCAGCACATTTAA